AAAAAAAAAAAACAAATATATATATATATATATGTTCCGATAAAAGGTGTAAATGATTACTGCTCGATATTAGCTTCTAAAGCAATGTTCATTAAAAGTAGCTTGTTAAATCGTTATGACCTGTGAAATAGTAAATGATCGTATGGCAAGATGGAAAGGACATTTTATTAAAAAAAAAAAAAAAAAAAAAAAAAAGGGCAAAATTTATCGTTCAGGCAAATTTAATTTGAGATAACAGCGAATAAAAGACTCGAAAAGAGACGAAAGTGCAAAAGAAGTGAAGGGGGTAAGCGATGGTAAGGGGGTGGCAGGGGGAGCGGATGGGTGATGGGGAAACTTTATCGTTCAGGCAAATTTAATTTGAGATAACAGCGAATAAAAGACTCGAAAAGAGACGAAAGTGCAAAAGAAGTGAAGGGGGTAAGCGATGGTAAGGGGGTGGCAGGGGGAGCGGATGGGTGATGGGGAAACATAGAGAGAGAGAGAGAGAGAGTGAGAAGGAGGAGGAGGGGGGCGTACCGATGTAGAATAGCCCGTAAATTCTGCGACGCTGACGCAGCACCGACCATATCTCATAAGTTATCCAATTTGTGTTAAAATAGCATTCGCGCACCGACACACCGGGTAATTTTACACTTTTTTCCTCCTCATAGTGCCTCCTCCGCCATCCACCTCACTGCCTCCCACTTTTTTTCTTTACTCCTCTTTGCCCCTTCATCTTTTCAAGCCCGACATTTTTATATTACCTCCATAGATCGTTAGTCCGCTAATTATTTCCTTTATACCGATTCAAGGTGTACAGGAACTGAATGCGAAGAGTAGCATATACTCATTCTCTTACGTTACCCTGTTTGCTTTTAAACTTCCGACGTGCTTGTGCAAGAAGAGCCTAGTCGTTTTTACACGCTTTTTTAATTATTAACTGACAATTATCGCCCTCCTAACATCACCGTAACGTACTGATTTAACGAACTACTTGTTTTAGGTTATGTTTGTAATTTTTGTTTAATTTGAAAATAGCGTTGATAACGTTTGATCTACGACTTTTTAATATCTAATTTTTCCAACTGTCCGCCTACTTATATATATATTGCACGCGATAAAAAATTAATATCTCGTGTAACGATAATACGATCGTTTATTTATTAATTAATTTATTTTTCACTCAAAAATTACTATCAAAGACGGCAGCTAGAGCTCGACGTCGATGTTTTCAATTTTTAGCAATATATGAGTTCTAATATTGAACTCTTATTGGTTACTGTTACTATTATTATTATTATTATTAGCATTAGCATTACAATCGATGGAGTTGAGTGATGGATGACAAATGAAAGAAAAATTATATCGAATCTGTTTTAAACGTACAGTGAACTTGACTGTAAAATCAATATCCACGTTGAATTTTCTACGTTCCGATATACGATAATACTATCTCATTTACTGGTAGGATATCTATAAACTCAAACGGAGAAAGAACTACTGTGTACGTGTTGATATATTTTTTTTAATACACTAGTAGGATCGACGAGAATATTATTTGATCGTAATTTTTTAATGTAAAAAAATCCAAAACACTCTCTATATTAATTGTATTCTTAATAAGTAAAATGTTTTCCTTTCATCGTTTCTCCCATCCTATTAGTGCCACCCCCTCCCAATCCCTCCGCCAATCCCCAACATCAAATAAAGGGACCATGTATGAAATATAAGTAAAGTTGCTGCTTTCAAAATACAGGGTAAATATGTGTTCTCGCAATTTTGAATTTTCGTGCTCTCAAGTTAAACGTAATATTGATGAAATATCGAATACGTAAATATTTTGCAAGCACCCGGTGGTGCTACTTGAATCAATCGATGCACCAAAACAGTTGCCCTTCAAACACTTTTCACGATTACATATATATATATATATATATGTATACACACACACACACACACACACGCACACACACACACACACTTTAAGTTGGTTCCGTTTACTCGCCTAACGTACAGAATTCTCTCTTATTATTATTTTTTTTTTTTTCATTTTTTTTTCTCTTTACGTATTTATTTAGTTGTAGGGATTCAAATTATGTGGAATACACAAGCTGGGCTTGATATATAATTCTCAATGTTTGCATTCTCATTATTTTTATTACTCAACATTTCCCTTATTAAGGCGACTGCTTATCATCCCGGCATAAACTCCGAAACAATGTTTGATTTAATAATCATAATGGCACATTATGATTATAATATACTTGCTCTAGGGTTTTTTTTTTTTTTTTTTTTTTTTTTTTTTTTTTTTTTTTTTTTTTTTTTTAATCCTACTAGAACATAGAAGTAACATAAACATACTTAAGTAGATGTTGGCCAGGCACAACGATTATGCTTTAAATAATAAAACCTATAATGAGGTTGCAGAGATTTATTGCTTCTTTATTAGATAAAGCTCGATGTCAATATATATTATTATAAAAGGCAAATTTGGGCTTCCACGACTATTAAATTTAGCCAATTACCTTGAAAATTTGTTATCCTTTGTTACGCAACATAAATCTCCTTACATTCGTTTTAATGCGACATCGGTTAGAGTAAAGAAAGAAAGAAAGAAAAAACTACGAATTTAAAGAAATGAAAAGCAAAAAATGCTTGCAACTTACGACTCGTAATACCTCGGACTCACGAGGTCGGCAAAATGAGCAAAAACCAGAAAGTACGAAGTCAAAAAAAAATCCTTTTGTCCCCAGTTCGGCGTATAGCAGTCCCCAAAGCTCGTATACAACGATGAGCTCGCCAGGTCAGCAGCACACTGGTCAGCAGCAGATGCTCCTTATGCAGCAGCAGCAGCAACAACAGCAGCAGCAGCAGATGCAGCACATGCAGTATTTGCACTCGCAGCAGCACCTCCAACAGCAGCAGCAACAACAGCAGCAACAACAACAACAGCAGCAGCAGCAGCAACAACAACAACAACAGCAGCAGCAGCAGCAACAACAACAACAACAGCAGCAGCAGCAGCAACAACAACAACAACAGCAGCAGCAGCAGCAACAACAACAACAACAGCAGCAGCAGCAGCAACAACAACAACAACAGCAGCAGCAGCAGCAACAACAACAACAACAGCAGCAGCAGCAGCAACAACAACAACAACAGCAGCAGCAGCAGCAACAACAACAACAACAGCAGCAGCAGCAGCAACAACAACAACAACAGCAGCAGCAGCAGCAACAACAACAACAACAGCAGCAGCAGCAGCAACAACAACAACAACAGCAGCAGCAGCAGCAACAACAACAACAACAGCAGCAGCAGCAGCAACAACAACAACAACAGCAGCAGCAGCAGCAACAACAACAACAACAGCAGCAGCAGCAGCAACAACAACAACAACAGCAGCAGCAGCAGCAACAACAACAACAACAGCAGCAGCAGCAGCAACAACAACAACAACAGCAGCAGCAGCAGCAACAACAACAACAACAGCAGCAGCAGCAGCAGCAGCAGCAGCAGCAGCAACAGCAGCAGCAATTGCAGTATAGGAGCCCTGCAGGGGGTAGCCCCCCGGCTATGCAGCAGACCGTCGTCCCCGAGAACACGACGACCAGCGAGGATAGTGATGATAGTACACCACACTCGGCAATGGTGAGTTGGTTTTTCTTCGCTCGGTCGATAATAACAGCTTATCTGTTCTGTACGGGATCGAAATTCCAAAGTTTTTCGCGTGTTTCGTCTGCTTTATATCGACCTTTTTTCTTTATTCTTCTTTCTGTTTTACGAGACCGGCTGTCTTTACTCAAACGTAGTATAACAATTTCGTCCTTATTTTGCGTAAACATTCTCGCGCCATTCGTATAGTTGGCTATTGAAATCTATTTGCATAATAACGACGTGACGTGAGGAAATTTAATAATCTCAAATGTTATTAAATGTTAAAGCCAATGGCATAATTTTGATAAGTAGTTAATTGGCTTTCAAAAATTAATTTGGATTCGCACGATTGAAAATTATGTTGAAATTCCATCAAAGGCTAAAGTTACGGACAATAGCTTCAATCCCTTTAGAGCGTTTTGAGTCCACTCCTTCCTTTCCACGACCCCCCCCCCCCCCCCCCACCCCCCCCCCCCACTCCCCCGCTACACCGCTACCCACTCCACCCTATTACTGTAGGGAATTTGTTATGAAGTTGAACTTTAAATTGCCGGTAATAAAAGGACTTATGCATTATTTATACGGGAAAATTATTCAGGAATGTCAAGTTATAAAAATGAACGATAATAACTTGAAAATACAAGTAAAATTGACAAGCAAGCATTTATTTAGCTTTACAACATACAACATACAACAAAATCACATGATTTTGTGGTGGTCCATTGTGCGCCCCAAGCCCGTTTTTACGTTTATTATCCCGTTTGTCGTTGTGCATGAAATTATTTACTTAACTTCTACTATAAGACCTACATATTTACTCAAATAAATAAATAACTAAAGAAAATATAATTTATCATCGTATAATGACAAATTGTAATTTGAAATATCATTTGCATTCTCAATTTATCCGATTAATTGCATTTTTATGTAAATATCTCTCTTTTTTTCGGGCTCAAATTTTCAAAATCATTACTGATTAAAGTGAAAAGGATGACGATTCAAGGCATTCCTATCTACAAACCTATTTATCTTTACATGTAACATGTAAATATAACAGCCTCATCTTATAAAATTCAAGAAATATCTCGCAGTGTTTTGAATACCAAAAGGCTTTTAAAACTACGGCATAACTAGTTTTCTTTTCTACATAGACACATACTATTTTCTTTTTTAGTTTCCTTTTTTTTTTTTGCTCTCTTCTTTTGTTAGAAGCGTCAACTTTCACTTTTAAAACCTCTTTTCATCTCAACGGCCTTAGAAGTTAAAAGCGGTTATACTGACGCAAATAAAATGCCTTTGATTACTATAATATTCTTTCTTCCCGGGCACTTTGTCATTTTAATGTTCCATTTCAAAATGAGAACGGTCTATTGATCGTAATAAAAACCATTTCGCTACATTGTATTTCGTTCATTTTAAATTATAGTTATTCTCAGATTAAAGCTTTATTTTCTTTTATTTTATTTATCCATTAATCAAAATTAATTCTCATGTATGGTCACGATTTGTATTAATATCGACATTATCGTTCGTCTTGGCAATAATTTTCAATGTCAATCGAACATAATTTCTTATAATTTTCCCTAATAAATTTCGATCGAGCGAATAACATGTGATAGGCAATTTGTCATCTATATCGCCTTTTCATCGCTTCGATGTTTTTTCATTTGGCAAATACAATTACTTTTCAATTCCATCATTACCATTACCAAATATTCACCAAATATTACAACTTCTTGATTTCTATTGTACGCGTGAGATTGGGGGGAAAAAAAAACACAAAAAACACAAAAAAAAAAACAGAAAGAATGCACACAAAACCTTATATCGTGTAAACCTTCGAATAAACAATAACGACAATTTCAATTTTTTACTTTATGCCTGCCTACCCTTATGCAACAATTGCTTTGCAAGCGAACTCGCAATATTACAACTTAAAAAGGTTGGATGTCAATGACGGTAGATTAATGCAAAAAAAAAAAAAAGAAAAAAAAATGAAAGAAAGAAAGAATGAAAGAAAGAAAAGGTTGAAAAAGACGACTTGGTTATTGTTTGCGTTCGACGTCACGGCGATTAATATCGCGTCTACATGTGTTTCGTTTTTTGTTTGACATTGCAGATAACGGGTATCAAGAGACCTTCCCCGGAACCGGCCGACACGATGAGCAAGGCACAAAAGAAACCAAAGGCTCAGAAGAAAAAAAAGAAGCGAGATCCCAACGAACCGCAAAAGTAAGCAACAAAACAACAAGCAACCTTCCCTAAATTATTTCGATCGTCTCGGGGTGGGTCGAGGGGACTGAAAGGGAATCTCATTTCTCCTCAGATAATTAGATGTTAGACGAAATTATAATTTATAAGAGGCGGGGCGAGCCAGCGATGCAAAAATGTACTCCCTGGGCTCCTTTAGCTCACGCTTTCTGAAAAAGGCATTTCATTTTTGCAATTCGCCTATACGCTTTATTTAGCTAGGCCAACTGTAATAGTTGTGCATTAAGTTACGAACTGTTTCATCATTCTGCGCATCCTTATTATCGACGTGGCAAAGAATTTTGGCCGTCTGTTTTGGTAGGTTGTGGTCGCCCTGTTCAAAAACGTCATAAAGTATGTGTCTTATAGGGCACGCGTCGGCTCTTTTCATAATGCGCGCGATGAAATTGCTATTAATGGTCGGTGTTTGCCGATATCACGATTTATTCGAGACTAAATTTGCTAGTATTATAGATTAATTATAGCATGGTCGGTAGCGATTCAAGGATCGCTCGATATTTCGTAGAATTAAATAAGAGAACAACAGCAACGACAACGACAACGACAACGACAACAACAACAAAATTATAATTGAAATCTTAGAACACTTTATACTAATTATGCATTGTGAGTTGTCGTCATCAAGCACACGCACTCGATTTTACATTCATTATAATTTTAAATAATAAATTGTAAATACTTTATTGGCCTTGTTTTTCTTTTCTTTTTTTGAAATAAGGAGGGAGGGGGGGTGCGAGGAAGAGAGAGAGAGAGAGAGAGAGAGAGAGAGAAACAAAAGAGATATACTACTCTATTATAGGTTGTAGTTCATGGCAAAATTTTAATAAAAAACGTGACAAGCGGCTTCGAGATAAAACATAAACAACTAGGTTCTCCATGATCAGCATGTCGTGTAAAAGGGAAATTTATTTATAAACTTATAAACTTAAAAATTTTTTAATAATAACTTCAAATTATTGACATATCTTGCTTATATCGAGTACGTTCGCCGTGTCCTCGCGCTTCCGGCACAACTCGGCAACATTTCTCATTAAAATATCTATTTATTATTTCTTTATCTCGCTCTGATTCACTTTATTCATCGTCGTCTCTTCGCTTACAATTTTTTTTTAATACAATACTTTAATCTAATATTTCCATAGAGCTTTGGATAATTTTAATGACAGTTTCTAATTTATTTACATCATCATATTTTTTTAAACAATTCACTAATTACATTTACAGAATGTTGCGAGAGAGTATAATATAAATTAATCACAATCTTTTATCATTCTCTTGTACGAGCGAAATTTATGAAAGCTTTTCATGATAATGGGACTATTGTGATGCCATGTCTCGGTACAATTCAGCATAGTTAAGTCATTTCTTAACAAGTTTTGAACTGGTAGTATATGTTTCGGAGCATTCAGCTCCATTCGAAGAATAAATGAAGTTGATAATATAAAGCGATTATTCTCTAATATAAATTTAGTATTTTCATTCAAATCACCAATTGCAATATATTGATTATTATCTATTATATCTCATGATCATTCGGGATTTTTGTATTTCAGCGTTCGAATCTATTCATAAGGCTCACACTGGGATTCCGATAAATTTTGCACAATGTGAAAATCTGCAATGCAAATTAAGTTTGTCGTAAAATTTTGCAAGCCTAATTATCCATAAAATAACGAATAATAGCATTTGAAAATTTTAAACTAATTAGCTCATAATAGAAATGTATAAGAGTAACAACAACAAATGCTACTACTACTACTACTACTACTACTACTACTACTACTATAAAAATAATGATGATGATGATGATGATGATGATGATGATTAGAACATTCTTATAAAAGCGCAATTGTTGAGTTTAGTTTATTCCATGTATTTCTTAGACAGTCAAGCACGTCTATTATATGTTTATCATAACATTGTTCCATAATTTTTCAATGCCTATTACTCAGATTTTACCTCTCTTTTTGCAATGAGTCTGCCTTTTCATTATATATACCTCATTTTAACTCACACTATCGTAAATGATTAGGGAACATAGAAGAGCTGAGAGTCGAAGTACAGCAACGGGTGATGCTTGAAAAGGGTTTTGGTGGTGGGGGGTGGAGGGGGCGGGGTTGTAAGTTATTACCTTTGTGAATTGGCAATTACCGTTATTGTCGCAACGCCGTAAATGCACGAATGTGAGAGACCACGACGACGACGTCGACGAAGATAGGAACTGTAGATACGATCTCCAATGGTCCAGTTTTGAACATAGGAAAACTAGAGATGTCGGGGGGTGAGAGGGAGGTAGCGATAGAGAAAGAGAAGAGACTGCTGCTTGGGGGTAGGTCATACGCATTGTATTAGGGATTGGTAAATGGCCTCGTCTCTATATGCCTTCTCTCTCACTACAACGTAGCAGTGTGTATTGTAATGATGGCGCAATAGTTGAACCAGATTACACGGTTATGGTCGAGAATTAACGATATCTGCCGGGCATTTTCATAGCCGTATACCTGATAAATTTTGCTTTCTCCTGCCCCTCTCGCTCGGTCACTCAATTTTTCTCTCTCGCTCTTTCTCTCCCATACCCCCGGCAACTTTGTCAAACAATGGAACATGAAATGAAAGAGTTTTAACACATTAGTAAGAGTAAAAAAAAAAAAAAAAAAAAATAATAATAATAATAAAACAATAACAAACCTTTAGTGGAGTCGAAATTCTTTTAAATTTATCACATAGAATTGTTACGGAATTTAGAATAGGAAGTCCTAAACATACATAAAACCAAACGAATTGGGATTATGTTTATTTTGTTCCCATGTTATTTTTCCATTATCCGAGCTCAATTGCTTACGTTCTAAGAAATAAATAAATATTTATACATGTTTCCAATGAAATTGTTTATATAATTAGTTAATATATTCATATATATATATTTTTTTTGTAAAAGCTCTTGTTGATATAAAACCGACTCTTAATTCTGAAGGACAAAATTTCATGTATATATTATTACGCTTTATTTTACGTAATTGTAGAACAGAGTACAAACGTTTTATTAAGAATAATGGGGGTCACATTTATGAAGTTAATTATATAAATTCAACAATATTAATTGATTTTTATTGAGGTTGCCACTGTTGATGGCAATTGATGAATTCTATAAATTAGATAATACTTAACCATGTTCGAATTAAATGTTAACTCTAATTCGCTTTTACTTTCTTAATATTTTAATAGAATAAATAAATAAAAATATTATTAATATCAAGATTGAATTTTATTACGCCTATCTAATGTAACATCATTACTATATATTTTTCAAAATGTTCACGAGTTATAAATTATATTAACGAAGCATTGATACGTAAATGGTTGTATGTATATATATATATAAACACACACACATCTTTTTTTTAATTATTTATTTATGTATTTATTTATTTATTTATTTAAATTAATCGACGCATCAATAATCAAACTTCTATATTATTAATTTTATATTCTCGAATAACTATATATAAGCATATTTCTATACGTAAGTATGCAAATGAATCACACGTGTGCTAAATTTTATTTCCTTCTAAAAATACTAGATTGTGACATGGTCTGCCAATTCGCAACTGTCAAACACATATATCTTTGTCCGTAACTTTTAGGATCTTTTAATGTAAGCCTGTACTTTAAATATCCAACGAAATGATTTTAAATAAATTTTTAGTACTGCAAGCATTAAATATAGTAACGAATAATCCTGTGTCTTAAGATAATTGTTGACCATCGATTTTTAAGTTATTATTACGGTTTTAAGCTAAATATGGTTAATAATTTAAATATAATAATCTATCTAGCCATGAAGATTACTAGACGCATTAACATTGCTTATCAATTAATTATATCTCTGTTCTACATAGATAAATTTCTTTATTATTTGCCTTCGTATTTCCTGTAATTTTTATTTTTTACTTAATCTTTTACAACAACAACGACGACGACAACAACAACGACAGCAACGACAACAACAACGACAACAACGACAACTACGACAACAACTACTACAACAAACAAACAAACACACACACACACACACACACACACACACACACACACAACCAATTCATGCTTATTTATCAGACTAATGTTAATTATGCGCCGGTATGTATGTGCGGATAATACGCACGAGTAAATCTAAAATATGCTATTCTATCAAATTATTTGACTTTAAAAGTAATGTAAATCGTTCGTTTAACTTTGTTTACTTTTTAAATATACATTCACAATTGATTATAATACTTATGTAAATATAATTTTTATCGATCTTTCTCGAACTTTTCAACCATTTTTCATCTACTTTAAAGGTTAAATTTTACATGATCCAATTAGATGATGTAAAGTAATTTATATTGCAATTCAGCTCATCAATTTTCTGCAAAAGTAATTTGGAAAATTAATTCCACTTTAGTAAAGTATAACTTTAAACTGTAATATACATACATTTTACGCGCAACGAAGAAAATTTTAGCGATTCTTGTAAGTTTACGATGATTGGAATAAGTCATAATTTTGAAATTCATAAATATTATTCATATATATTTTTTAAATAAAAATAATCTCGAATACTTAAATGTATATACGACATTAATACTTTAAATGAAAAATTCTTCATAAATCAAGTTTAAGAAAACTTTATCGAAGTCGTCAGCCTAGTATGCGATATACATCTCGAGTAAAAAAAAATCCATCCTTAATAGCAGAATTATTATTATTTGACAAGCCATTTCGTTGAACAATAAATAACGAATGATTTTTAAAAAGGTTGCAATGGGAATTTCGATCTTCGCGATAAGAAAGTTAAATTCAAACAAATAATCGACTGCACATAATTAGATTACATGTGTCAACAAAATTTCTCGACTATCAATAAAATAACGAACGTATTGCTAAATTGCCACAAGTAATGCAACGAATGATTTCTCATAGCTTACATAAGCTCGACACAATACTAATAATAAGGTCGATGATTTTGGTGTTTCTTCATGCTTGTTGAGATCGAGTTGTAGAAGAAGATGACGCTACAGCGCTTAAAGACCGGCCAATCGGCGATTTCACGAGAAAACATTTTCTATTAAAATCTTTTTTATTCCACAAAGCATGTAGATTATGCGCGATAATCTTAAATGGGAAAAATTGCGACTATACTATAATGAATGTAGAGCATCCGTAACTACGAAAACAAGAAATGATAAAGTTTGTTGTTGTTGTTGTTGTTGTTGTTGTTGTTGTTTTTTTTTTTTTTTTTTTTTTTGTGGGCGGAGAAACGTATTTTATTGTAAGCTGCTTAATATCCATTTTAAATGTTATCAAGAGCAGTCGAGATATGTGAGTGATGAAATCCAGCGGAAATGGCTGTATATACTGGTTAAGCAGGTAGATACGCTATGCAACAGCATAGCCGTTTACGGTGAAATCAAACAATGGAATCATATCCTTTGAACTGGAACTCCTCCATTGCACCACTTTCCCACCAAATTTAACTTGTTTGAATAACAACATATTCGGTTAAGTCCACAATATCATTCGGTTCGCTCTCGTTTAACGTTAGTTGACATATTCAATTATAGCATTACCGGCTTTATGGTAAAAATTTGCTATTACGGAGTGCGCCATCTTGCGGGACATTGACGAAATCTCGAAAAATATACTCTTTGTGTTGTAATTAATGCTAACTTACATAGTTGTTAGTAGAGAGGAAATTCTTTTCTCATAATTATAAAGCAGTGCGAGGAATATGTATTTTCAAATCGTCCAATATTTTATAAAAGTGTTGATAATATTTTGTTTCTACATTACCGATTAGTCTTTTCAAATTGCACTATTTTATTTATTCCTTCTTTTTTTTCTTCTTTTTTTACCTCTTTTTTTTCCTCTTTTTTTTATAGTATTTTTTATTTCATTGCAGAGTTATATAAATTCTCTGACCATCGAAGCAATTAAAATTGAAAAAAATATATTATTATGTAAAAATATTATTAATAATATTATATATAAGAAGATAAATTATTTTCATTAACCGCAGACAGTAAAATTCCTAATATTCATATATCTAATATTTAAATAAAATTAAAATGTATGCTTCGAAAGTTCATAGCTCGTGCTCTTATTATTTTGACATTACAAATTTACGTAGTCAATAATAAGAGAAGAGAGTATAAGATTGCGATGGGCCGGTGGAAGGGCGCGAGTGAGCAAGCGAGACAGGCAGAGAGAAAGAGAGAGAGAGAGAGAGAGAGAGAGAGAGAGTGAGTGAGCGAGTGAGTGAGTGAGAGGGAGGGAGTACTTCGACCTCTCGAGTTATGCAATGTCAACGTTCGTCTCGCTCTCGTAAATCCATTTCCGTGCTTCGCTTATCTTCGTCTCGTTATATTTTTCCTTGTTCAGGATTTATTCTCGCATTTCCGAGAAAAAACCACAAGGAAAGTCGAAACCTACCGATAGGTTTCCCTTTTCAACGCTACCTCAACTAGTTCGTTTTTTCTTATCTTACTTCTTTTTTTTCTTCATATGGCGGTTCATCCTTTCGTCTCGTCCTCCCTCCTGACCCGCCGACCAATAACCTAAAGTAAAAGACTATTTCACTCGCACTTTAATTTTAGAGCCTCGTAAAATCTCTCTTAGGAATTACCTTCTATAATATAACGTTGAAAAACTTGTTTAATTTATAAAGTTTTTTTCTCTTAATTTTATTATTATAAGAGATCTTAAGAGCTTTACAAACTAAATGTAATTAAATATAATATTAATTTTTAATTATTCTTGCGAAGTCGTAAGATTATACGATTTTACGAATTATTAATTATTCTTAGGTAAAAGCAACAATTTCATCTCATTTTATAATTTTATATTTGGCTCTATTAAGTTTATCCTTGTTATCCTTGAGAATAATTTCTATTATTCTGCCTTTGTACATAACTTTCGAATAATAATGATGTAAAACATCCTTCGTTTGTAAAATATTTACAATTGAAATGCTACAAGAAGTGTAATTGTCATTCGCGATAATTATATAGGATATCTTTTAGATAATTGAGGATAATTGAAGATTTGTTAAAGTAATTGACAAAAGTACGTAAATAAAAAAGAAATATCTTATTTCAAGTTTAGATTTACTTTTAGGGGCACGAAATGTAATATAATACACTTGATATCCAATATTTTTATATGAAGAAATTGAAACGAATGGAATTATTTTAAGATAAAATGGTATATAATAAAAGTATACGGAAACATTGTATATGAGCGAAATGATATTTAGTTGATTAGAAACTTGGCGAGATTCCATAATATAGATTGTGGTAAATTCGCGTCATGTTTTTCATTCTTCTTTACAAGGGAATAAACTGAAATGTTGAATAAAGCGAATCAAATGGTTTAAACGTAATTAGAGAGCTACTTTAATGGGAAGAAAGCGCGAGTGGAATTGGAAGAGGGGATAAAGGACAAAGAAATTCGATGTAGGACTGTGTAATGGAAACAAAGCGAAACTCAAAAGAAACGAAAAGACTGGAAATCTATTCAAAAGATTTCATTTTTTTTCCTTTCTCTTTCTTTTTTTTTTTCTTTCTTTTTCTTTTTTTTTTTCTTTCAACGTAAATTAAGGCTCCTTATAAATATAATTAGCGTGCAATTATTTTTTTTCTCATAAATTGGCCTCCGCAGCAGAGAATAAACAGTAACGAGAGAGAGGCTTTACATCTGTAATATTCAAAGTTATTTAACGAATATTTTTGAAGTTTTAACGATACAATTTTCTATATTCTATCAAAATAAAAATATTATTCAATTAAAAATTTCTTTAATTAATAGAGGTGCTTGAAAAAGTGGCTTAATATCGAATGAAGAAAAAACGTACACGTTTCACTCGAATAGCATGCATTTTTTAATTAATTATGAGGGAGAAAACAGTTTTCCACGCTAAAATTTTATTATTCGATGCATGTATAATTGCTATAACTCTTGCAAATAAATAACACGAAATACTTTTTTCATTATTATTTATTCTCATGGATCAATGCCTCGGATTGGGAATCTTTGTTGCCCTTACTTTGCAAATTTCTTATTCCCATATACAATATTAATTACGTGTTGTATTTATGAAAATGTCTGCCGTAGGCATTTGTATCGCATTTTCTAATCTATAAGATTTCGTTTTATCTGAAACTTTCAGGCCAGTATCAGCATACGCGCTGTTCTTCAGGGATACACAGGCAGCTATCAAAAGTCAAAATTCGAATGCGAGCTTCGGCGAAGTTTCAAAAATTGTCGCGTCAATGTGGGACGCCCTGGATACAGAGCATAAGGACGTAAGTATAGAAAGATTCTCTTTTTCAAGAGCCTAACGAAGGGCATTCACTAAATATCTCACTCCCTCTTCTTTCCCTTCCTCCCTTTCTCGCTCGCGCACACGCTCCCATCTCTCTCTCTCTCTCTCTCTCTCTCTCGAAGCGTTAAATACACAAGCTTTGGTATTGTGCTGTCAGTCTAAAGGCCCACGAGTCCTTTAATCTTTGATGAGAATCATAAAAGCGCTATGAGAGAAAAGAGAGAAAGAAGAGAGTGAACGCGGGAGGAAAAAGAAAATAGTCGTCTTTTGAATAACCCCCTATTGATGAAAATCAATCGTACATGGTGTATATAAAAAGTCCTTTATGATGAAAAGTAGAAATTTTTCTGAAATCCCTTATACTAAATAATAGTTAAGTTGATGGGTGAAAAGAAATTAAAAGATAAACCAATGCACGTTGATGGTTAGTAAGATTGTCATCTGGTGAAGGGATGCTTGAGAGTGCTTTTAATTTGGTCAATATCACATCGGGTACTTTCATTAGACAATTAATTCAATGAATTTCCAAGAGTCTATACAAAATTCCTCGAAATAAAAGTTATTTCTCAACCATTATTGTCTGGAGAAAACAATAAATTAGCAGCAAAGCTTTATTGTATTTATCATTAATTCAGTTTAATAGCACTCAAATTAAAAATTAAAATTGAGTTGGATTCTGTCTGAGCAGAGGAAATATTTATAATTGGCATTAATTATTTATTAAAAGCTTCATAATAAAGTGGATAAGAATTCACATTCGTTTTTATAATTATTTAATGCATCGACATGTTCTTCTTAATTTTACGTGTTCGATAATTTTAATGTACGTATATGATAAAGAGGCGAAGATCAATTTTTTGTGATACTCTCTCACTCTGCCAACAATAAATATTACAGCTATTACATTCGGAATAACTAATAAACTAATAATTGTTTTTATAAACATATGTAATCGAATAAATGGAATTTAAATGTCGATCTCATATCCAGAATATTTCTCTTTCTTCTCGTGTTCTCCCACTTGTTCTTCTCCCCGAATCTCTCCTCCTCCCCCTAATGCGTCATCAACATTAAATCCTATCCTTTTTTTTTTCTTTTTTTTTTGTTGTTTAAAATGCATTTACAGGCTCATATTATCTTCGCGATAATTGTTAAAATGCACAATTTGCAAAAGGTACTTTTGCCGGCGAGAAAAAAAAACGAGATAGAGAGAGAGAGAGAGAGAGAGAGAGAGAGAGAGAAAGGAAGGAAGAAAAAAAAACGAAATAAAGAAATAACGAGAGTGCATTACATTTTGTGCTAGCACTAGTTTTAAATTTATTTCTGAAATCCATTAGTCAGCAGCTTCGCCAGAGCTCAGAGAAACACACTCGCGCGCAATTCGTTTAGACTACACTAACGAGCTCGAGTCCGGTAAAATTATTTTATCAGTCAAGGCGGAATATCGTGCAAAAGCATTGGCTCATTTACCTGATAAATATATTGACGGCTACAAGTATCGGACAGTCTTCTTGTCGATATTCACGGTAAATGCAAATTTTTATACGAAATACATTGTTAGCATACATTTGCTCAAATAACTGTATAAATCATCTCGGGTATCGGAGCCGTTAAATTCTTGAGTAATTTTTTTCCAAACGCTTTTTTGAACATTATCCTTTAATATTTGTAAAATGCTAATAATCCGATAGTTATTACAGGCCTCTAGCATCTGAATAATTACTCGTAAATTGTTTCCACAAATTGTTTTTCTATACATGTTGCTGCTGTTGCTAATACTTTGAGACGAAAAGAATAAAAAAAAAAAATGCATCCCGTGCACTTTATGTATATAGAGTACTACAGTCCTGTTGCAATAATTCATGCATATCTTTGAACGAAGTAAATATAATTTTTTTTATACGATTATTACGCCAGCGTATTTAGTTTCAAGTGACAGAATGCCATTAAAACGTATGAAAATTCAATGACCTCACTTTTAAATTGGCGCTTTCATGGTTTCTGTCTCATCGTCGTTCAGCATTTAAATGAAAAATGACGAGAGCGCAGTGTATGAATCCTTCATCCCTCCTATATATTAAAAAAGTTATTAAAAGTCTTGAATAGAGACTTGATTAAAAAAAAAAAAAAAACTTTAAAATAACGGTAAAATAAGAGTTGCTAGACGTTCAAAAAAGATAAAGAAAAAAAGTGGAGCGAGCCAAGTGTCTTGCATTAGCATTTTCATCTGCATATGTTGTTCTTATGTAGGAGTCTAAACATTGCGACAAACGTCAACAGTGACCGTAGAATAATGCTTTGACCTGTTTTATATTTTTTTATCCCATAAACATTAGCACTCGGAAATGACTGTGCGGAGTTTCGTTTCGTTTCGTTTTTCTTTTTTTTAATTTATTATTTTTTTTTTAAATAAGCACTTTGTTAAGAAAAAGGAGGAGCAAAAAAAATGATTAAGAAAAGGAAGGGAAAGGGTAAGAAGAAGATGATGAAGATGAAGATGAAGAAGAAGAAGAAAACACTTTGTATCGGCATAATTAAAAATACTAAGAATTTTTTTATCCATTATCCTCTGTACCTTGTTTTCAATGCTTTCCTCGGAATCTTTTTTAGATTATCTATTTAATTAAGTTTCATAACGTGAAAGGCCATTAAGTTGATTTTATCGGGGTATATATCTTTTCGATTAAAGCCTCTCATATTTAAATTTTTAATTAAAATAAGTGTGCTTAAATGACTGTTTGAAAAATATAATTAAATCATTATTTAAAAAAAAAAAGAAAAAATAATAATAAAAATAAGAAAATAAAAAAATAAAGAGAGAAAAAAATTAATTTCATAGATTAATATACATCATATTCATCATAATTAACGAGAGAACATCCTCGGAATAACGGGATTAATTTTACTTTAAAGGAAGTCCGTATAAAATTGTCGATAATAGATTTGATTTATCTCACGAAGATTGAAGAAATGTTTAATTAAGTTTTATTCATCCGATATTCTATTCGATAATTCGAAGAATTTTACTCCCTAATGGGAAATCATTTCTTGTGAAATAAAAATTGATAGCCATTTGATATCTTGTTGGCAAGATTAATAACAACTTGTCGTCTTTATTGTATAATTCTTATTAAATTTCTTCTTTCTTCTTTGTTTTCTTTCTTTCTTTCTTTTTTTTTTTTTTTTGCCTACACAGTATGCTAAACAGTAATTTCGAATAGCATTATTGGGCGAAGGGAAAACATTTAATTACACAACATACTCGGTTAATATATTATTTGAATCTTTTATTCATATCGAAAGGCTAATAAGTTTTTACAGTATGTAAATTCTTCGGTCAATGCACTTACTTCTAAACGGGCATGTTCAATTTCTTAATCGTGGCTTCTACTCCTCGTTCAATCCCTTTTTTTTTCAATAATTTGAATAACAACAGCAGAAATTTTATTCGTCACTGTCATAAATATCCTGTTTCAAATATAACACAACAACAACAACAACAACAACAACAACAGAAAACAAAAAACCACATCCTCCATGTTATGCAATATGTTTATTATTAATCTAAAATACTTGCCAAACACTTACAAACTGCATTTTATTAAAAGAAATACGTAAGACCAATTATCCGATAAAGTTTGCTTAAGCACTAGTCGCTCTCCAATCTCCAATTCGAACGTCTTCCTGGCGCAAAAAATTAATGGCACTAGAAAATTAGCGCCAATATAAACAATAAACCACCACAGCTTCTTATTGCAGTCGAATGGAAGGCCCCTAGCGTTTATTATCTTGTTATCACCATTGGGCATTACGTTATTATGTAAATAGCTCAGCCTTATCGGCGCTTCCTCTCCATCTCCTACTCTCTGATAAGTCAACGTTATTAGCGGTATCGGTAATTACATCCGAAGTTGTATGCACTACCAGCGTAATAAACACTTTTCCATGCGCTGGTGTCCGCTGATTAAGCCTCTCGGCGAGCCTTCTCTCTCTCTCTCTCTCTCTCTCTCTCTCTCTCTCTCTCTCTCTCTCTCTCCTTATTTCCAATACTTGGTGAACTGCCGACGACTTAACCGACTCTCTCAGCATTGAAAATCGTACTTCCAATGAGGCACCATTTTTAATCAGTCCGGGACATTTCAATCATCAATCCTCACATTAAATCCATATTAAATCCATATTAAATCCATATTAGATCCATATTAAATTCCATATTAAATTCCATATTAAATTCCATATTAAATAACATATGAAAATAATGTATCGGCAAAGTTCTGTATCGCTATTAATTTGCTTGATGGCCTCCTCTGTCTAATTAATCAAACTATTTTTAAATTGTACTTTATCTCCGGTAGATTTTAAGTTTGTGTAATTGAGTTATTTATAAATAATAAGGGGAGAACGTGACGTGACAGCTGCGGGTCATGAATTTCGATCGGGGCGTTCGGTGAAGATGTTTTTAGACCAAAATAATGGAACCCGCGCTTTGTCCGGCTAATCTCATGAAACATCTTGTCTTCTGTGTCTGTTTGTGCGCGCATTATCTTCGAAATTGTCTTGACTATTTAATATGAGTCATCAATTTTTACTCGCGCATTATCTAAATTAACAATTTTATGTATATTCGAGTGGGGTCCCATTAATCGACATACATTTTCGTCTAACGAAGGGGAATAGAATTATATTACTTCACGTTGTTGACTATTATTATTTATAATCAAGAGTATAAATATTGATTTTACGATTCCATTAATTCATAAGCGTGCAAATTGCGATAAGAATTTCTTCTTATTTTTTTTTTCTTTTCTTTTTATTTTATCTTATTTATTTATTTTTTTTTTTAACTGTTCTCTATGTACATTTTGATCGATTTACTATAATATATTAATCCTGGTTATTACTACTATTCATAATTTACGTAATCAGCAATCTTAAATAAATAATTCAGAATAGCAAATATTGAATATTACACGATGAGAA